GAAAAATTGTCGATTTGTCAAAATCTGATAAAAATGACAAAAATGGGATTTTTGTCATTCTTTTCCTATTGCGAAAGGAACTTTTCTATACCTTATCGTACTCGATCTCAAATACATGATGTCAATAATATTATGAGAAAAGTAGTAGGTGTATAACTATATATTTAATATTGCGCAAGGATTATCATTTCTTGCCGAATTTGTTGTTGCCACATTCACATTAGATGTGTATTCAGAATATGAGATGATAGTTGGAATCTATTTCTAACGTTTCAAATTGTGCAATACACAGTGTTTTGACAAAGATGAAATTAGCTGAGTTACAAAACGGTACAGTACTCCCACGATTACACGTACCTCGATTAACCGATTATTCGGACATAATATCAACATTCAAGGTAATATTCCCTTACATATGAGACAACACTTTCTGAAGTTTTGCTGTTCAACACTTTTCATATTTTGTTATGATTGGTGATATTACGTTTTGAAATTGCAATGGCTTCGTATTGGAAAGACAAAACGAAAAAGGCTAATATTATCTATTAAGAAATGAAATGCTTAAATTCTTAAAGAGGATGATGAAAACGGTATTTCATTTCACCAGCTCAATTTCAAACACCGAAGCAATGATTATATTTGACAAATATTTACGTTGGTTTGGCTTTCAAGCAGAGATTACGCTTGCAAATACATCTACTCTAAGAAAGCTGCACAAAGACGCGAGTCCAGCCGGAGTCAAAATTAACGCATTTCTTCATAAAAATATAAACTGGACAAAAGCTTGAATGAAGCATCTGATAATGTTATTTAATGATATAAATATTAAATTTATTGCTGAAAATTACATTTTTTATTAATTTCTTTTTCGATAACTTTAAGTATTCAACTTTCCGGGTTTTTAAAGCATGTGAAAATATTTTTCAACCCAGAATGTCTAGATCAACGAAATCATTTATTAGTGTACAAATTAACACCCCTTTTATATGGAAAAAAATATAAAAATCCTCTAGCAAAATCTCTTTATTTCCCTTAACAGTTTCCAATAACTATTATCTGGTAGAGCTTTCTGCTTTAGTTTTCGATCTGATTCGGATTGAGGAATCGGAGAGCCGTTTTCGAAATTCAGTCAGATCCATTACATTCACTTATATTCTAATACCCTTGGGAAAGGTATGAATCCTCTTCTACTCCCCCAGTTATTGATAAATAGCAGCACAAAGCGGGTTCTACTGCCTTGAATGGCAAGTGGTCTATCGCAAAAAGTAATGGTAACCTACTGTGGGGAAAAATTGCCTCGTAAGTCATGTATCGAAAGATACATGATCGCCTAAGAATGTATCAGAGATGACACACTGACGTTCCAAAAGCTAAGCAAAGTATTAAGAATCATGATAATTTCGTTAGAAACACATTAAACGGTACTAAACCCTAACATCACGAGTGCTATATGACATTGAATGTTGGAGACTTTCCTGACGTACCAAGAAGCGATTTGAGGCAACAAAAATGAGGTTCTAAAGAAGGATGCTGGGAATACCAATGACTGATCATGTGAGTAACGAGGAAGTTTTAGTGATAATGGAACTTATAACGACACTTATATTTAGAATCAGAAAGAGGCAGTTTCTAGGACACATACTAAGGAAAGAAGGGTTGGAGAATGTAACATTCAGAGGACACAATGAAAGCAAGTGGGAAAGAGGAAAGCGGCAATTAACCTACCTAACGAGCTTGTGCAATGTTTGGCAGAAGAGGAAATGCGAGTGATAACAAACAGACAGGCTTCCCTAACAACTATAAATGATAGGATGTTGTAGAGATAAATGATCGTCCACGTTCTGAAGGGATGCGACACATGGAAGAAGGAGAATTCTACTCTACTGGTTTGAATTCGGGGATCAACTTTCAGACAATCTGACTTCTAGATTCAAGTCTGTTATAAAATTCCTATAACGCTTGTAGTTCTTGCTAATAATACTGTAAGGAAACACAGGAACAAAAGGTTGAGTTAAACAGGTTTAATCACGTGAGAGACATGGATTAATAATACAGTAATAGAATGTCGGAGTGAACTTAATTGTCCAAATTGTTCTCTAGGGAACGCTATCTATACACTATAAATACTGGGCGATTTCTTGCCTCGTTCTCTTTTTCATTCTTCATTTTCAGCGAACACATCTACAATGTAATCTCTCGCAGATATTTGCGTTTTGCCCACTTGTAGGAAAACACCATCAAACACACACACACATACACGTACGTACGAACATTCATCAAAATACGAACTCTTTACGTTCACGCACTAACACAAACGTTAATGTCTTTGTCTATTGTAAATCTTGTTTAATACATATACTTTTGTATATTTATATTGGACTTTTTGTTTTCTTTACATATCTTTTGTTGGACTCAACATGAGTCCGCCATATTCTGGTTGTGGACTTTATAATATTCTATCAGGAGTTACACACGTGTTCCTAATTTAACAACACGTAAATCCACGGCCCGCCACAAGAGAATACCATAGTTCTGGTTAATAATATTGTAAGGAAACGCTGGAAAAAATGGCTGAATGAAGAACGGGTTTAAGCACATGAGAAACATAGATTAATAATACAGTAAAAGAGAACACAGTGCAGCAAAGTGTACGACTCAAACACAACGCCTTGCGTATATATATATATATATATATATATATATATATATATATATACAGTGTAACCCGGATATAAGAGAGTTGTCGGGACCGGAGAAGAAATCTATTGTATCCAGGTTTCTCTTATATCCGGGTTTGGTCTATTATATATACATTAACACAGGCTCTAATTTGGGACCAGATAAAATCTCTCTTATATCCGGGTTTCTCTTATATCCGGGTCTCTTATATCCGAGTTACACTGTATATATATATATATATATATATATATATATATATATATATATATATACTCACAGGACAGATTTAGGGAAAGAGTGACAGAAGAAAGCAGTGCGTAAAATATAGATGGGGTTGAGTAAATGGATTGTAGGATATGGTTTTTGAGAAATAACTAAAAGATAACACTTTTTAAGAGATACAAAGGAGAGGAAGGTGGGGAGGGCTATGATCGCCTACGTTCTGAAGGGAAACGGCAAACAAAAGAGACTCTTTAGAGACTCCCCTGTGCTGAATATTACTGTTATAAAGTTCCTATAACGTTCATAGTTCTTGTTAATAATACTATAGGGAAACACTAGAAAAAAAGTTTGAGTTAAGAACAGGTTCAATCACACAAAAGACATGAATTTAATAATACAGTAATAGAGAATACCGTAGTTCAGTGCGGCAATGCGTACGACTCAATTGTTACACCTTGTGACCCAGTTTGCGACAACTGTTGCTATGAGCAGACGTTCTATTCACAGCGGATGTACAAGACCATGTTCAATAATTAGTGCAAAAAAGGTCGGTTGTTTTTCGAAGCAACATAGTCAATCTGATGCTTTTTCTTTCTATGGTATCTCCAGGAAGCAATTTGCAGGCCAGTGGTACAAAAATGAAGCATGTGCTGAAGTTTAAATATCTGGGAAGTGTTTTCAACGGAGGACGGTAGATGCGATGCTGACATCCGAAGACGGGTCGGGATGGCCAAGGATGCATTCCAAAAGCTGGGAAGAGTACTGCGATACAAGAGGATTTCTTTGGTGACAAAGAAAGGAGTAGAGAGCTATATGTGACATCTCTCTAAAAGAAAGGAGTAGAGAGCTATATGTCACATCTATATGGCAGCGAATATTTCACAGTCTCCTCAAGGATGAAGAAGAGACTCGATACAACGGAGATGTGATTCTACAGAAGGATGCTAAGGATATCAAGGAGCCAGCGTGTGAGCAACGATGAGGTCTTGAGGAGGATGCAAACAAGGAGAAAGCTTATACTTGACATAAGGAAGATCCAGATGAAATTTCTGGAACACGTAATGGGAAAGAAGGTCCTGGAGAATCTGATACTCACAGGTCGAATAGAGAGAAAAAAGACAAGGGGAAACAACGAATGACATACCTGGCGGGCTTAAGCTAGTGGATGGTAGAAAGTGGACTGGGGAAGTTGGCAGAGGCACGAAACATATTGAGAGACACCAGGGATAGTGGGGGGGAGTACAGAGCCATGATCGCCTACCACCTGAAAGGACACGGCTTATAAAAAATAAATATTATCTACATTAATGACACTGCGGTTCTTGATGTTTTGCCGTTTCTGTAGCCATTGTCCAGGTTTATCAAGATGGCGTAGTCCATTTAACACTTTCACTGCTACTCATTTGCCCAGTGCTGCCCCCATCCGGCCAGCCATTTTGAAAGAAAATGCCAAATTTCAACCTCCATATTTTATTACACATAAAACTGGCACCAGTGTGTTTTACAGCCTTCCATTTTCATGGATATACCTGGGAATGACTTACCAGACCAGTAATGGGTATACACATGATATCTTTTGAAGCATTGTCCTTTGTGATTTTACGATAGATGGCGCAACGAGACACTCATAACACTGGTATGCAAAAAAAAAACATAGGTTTCCGTACTTAGCCAGCTGGAGCAAGATAAGAAAAACAAAGATCTCCTTAGTTAGCAGCGGAAGTGTTAACAGAGGTTTCGCTCACTTATTTCTTATTATGTTTCTCCATCTATATTTCAACATTGATTTGTATTATCTTCCCTTATTGAAATCATTTATTGATTGGTTGTTTCGTATTTTACGACTTACCAACCGATTGCAGCTTATTTAAAGCCAGAAAATATTTTTAGATTATAAGTATACTTTATGGGGATAATAATGTTTTAGTGATACAATTCTTACAAATTAACTCATAGCTGGATGGAGAATAGGAGGATTCATATTTTCCCAAGGATATAGTGCTCACAACTGAATGCAACGAAGCCAGCAGGATTTGTACCTCGGCTCTCCGATTATCAGTTCCGAGTAATTACCCATTACACCACTCGCACGACAAAGCTTACAGATCTTAGTATTCCCAGGCGCTCACACATCTAGGTACTGACCAGGTTCGACATTGCTTAACTTCTGTGATCGTACAGGAATCGGTGTTTCAGCGTGATGTGGC